TTTCCATTTATTTTTGGCACATCCACATGCCAACCCCCATTTCATCTGCGTCATCGGAATTAATTCACAGCAGCAAACATATTCGTTTAATAAACGAGAACTGCACTTATTTCTGAATGAAACCTCAGCGCTGAACTTTCCGCTGTGTCGATGTCAGCAAAGTTAATTGATCAAGCCCCCGCGAAAGAACACACATGCAAATGAACATAAACACCGTAACCCAAAAACGCTGAGATTGGGTTTCAGCAGTAAGGCCAATAAAAAATCAAAAAAAAAAAGTTTAAAGAGGCAATCTGAACGAGAAACGGAAATTGACTATGAAAGAAGTATAAATATAGCTTGTAATCAAATTAATTCAATTAAAGTATGCATTTATCGTATTTTGCCACTCATTGATTAAATACTTACTGAGGAATTTAGAGCACATTTTCTTAGATATACATCATCGACATATTTAAAAGCAAATTCGGTCCGTTGTCAGGTCAGATGATTACTTAAAAGGCTTCCGGCTACTGGATACTCCCTCGTTTTCTGCACTTTTCAATTAATTAAGCCGATAGAATCAACCTGGCTAAGGAAATTAAATTTATCTGCTTATGCATTCATATTTCCCCCGATATTATTATATTAAATTTGGGTAACAAGGGGCCCGGGGCGCCGGCTTATCGCTGTCAAAGAAAGCCGCTGTTCAGCGCCAGACGTCGTTCAAAGTGCAGAAAGTTTCATTCCAAATACGGATTTGTGGTTCCAACTCTCATTCTGTTTCTATTCCAAACCGACGACAGAAAATCTCGCCAGCTGGAAATTAATTGCCGACCGTATGGACATGACACGGGAGATCACGAGACCAAATAAAATCGAACTATTAATCGGCGCACAAGAGTGACAAACATCTATTAGGCATTTAATTAAAAGTTTCGCATGAACGGAGGCGGATGGCTTTGTTGCCATTGATAGCAACTATGGAGGCTCCACTTCTGTTGTCCGTTGTCCGCAGTCCGTTGTGCGATGGCCGATGTCCGATACTCGGACAAAGTGTCAAATTCGAGCATTTCAAGTTACCGCTTCAGATAGCGGCAAAGAGCAAACACAAATATTTGCCTACAATTACTTACCGGCCGGATAGATAGGCATAGGCCGTGGTCAGTTGGCCGGATGAGACAATGGTCTTCGCTCTGTTCTTCGTTGTCCGTGTGTATGTACATAATTGGGCTATCGGCCCTCGATGGCCGTCGGTGGAGGCGCTCGGAATAAATACGGCAATTAAAATGCGATGGACAGATACGTCGGTCGATCGAGCATGAAGTGGCTATGGCGACAGGCTGCCGATCAAACCGCCCATCCACCCACCCACCAGCATATACCCCAATCAACAAATTCTTGAGTTGTACACTTAGAATAAAGTGTGCTGTTACATTTGGAAACAAGTTGTGGAGTTTAATTGAATGTTATATCTAAGAAAATTAATACGTTCGTCAGGAAATGGTTACTGATGATGTGGAAAACATCTGTACAATTTTAAATGCAGATATACATTTAAGATCTCGTTAACTTCGTTTATAGATTTTTTTCAGATTATATACACGGTTTCTTTTTCTATTAGTTTTCATTATTATTATTATATGGATTATATTTTTTTAAATACTCCTTTTAAAAACAGTTTCAAGTTTCCGCTTTAAATTTGGATGCTCTTTATTAACAAAACAAAAACTACATAAACATTATTGAAACTATATTTATAATACAAGAAAATGTCAAACAAATTTTTCAAAATAACTTTCTAAAAAAAAAAATTTTCTATAAAACGTATATATATAAAAATAATTTTTCACTTATATTTTCCCTTTTTTTTATTGTCTAACAATATTCCTGGATACAGTTTTTAGAAGATTGACCATACGACAATGTATTTAGTTTGAATGGCATAATCACTAAGTGCCAAATGAAAATGGGTAATACGTGTTAGGCAATATCCAATCCCCTTTTTATTTTAATGTGAAGGGATTTCGCCTTTTTAGCCGTTGAATCAACGTTAATTAATGTTGAAGGATAGACGTTCCCGGCCGCCATCGGCTCCTTGGCTCATCCCCAGTGACGTCCCCGAAATTGCAACACCTGTCTGATGGTCGAGCGGTCACCTGGCGGCGATGCGGAAAGTCAGTGACTATGTAATACACTGTGTTTTGGTCAGCCTAACCGCACGGACTACACTCATCCGATTAAACTTTTAAATAGATGTCAAACAAACTACATTCTGCTAACTACAAGGACTTTCGGTGTCATCGTCCAGGTTCGCTCCACGTCGATGTCTTAGGCCTGTCCGCATACGTATATCTATATCCCATATCCCCTTGTCGCCAGCGGGTGTGTCCACCGTCCACTGTCCAATGTGTCCTTGTGTGTTATCCTGGGCGAGTGTTGGCCATTCAACCACCGTTGTTGCCGGTCGGTTGGGGTCGTGACGGACAAATGTCCGAAATTTGAAACTTTAAATAGCAGTCTTTGAAGCATGTTCTCTGGCATGGTGGGGAGTATGGAGTGGGGGTCAAAGCACAGGTCAGAGGTGTCTATTCCGTTGGCTGTCCCAGGGACAGACACTCCACCACTTTCCTCAGCGGTTGGGCGGAGATCTGATGAGCTGGGCTTCGAAATTAGTTCTGATTTACCACTGTTCCAACAGAATGTCAGGCGGTGTGACAAGGATTGGCTTTTCGGGCACATGTCGCAGATTGTGTGCGTATCGTGTAAACATTGCCAGGGTCCACACCTGCTGGTACACGTGTACATAATTATACGTGCAGGAAACTTCATAGATCCTATTAACTAAGGTTCCATAGTTCATAATTCATAAACGGTGAGTACGATTAAGTAGTATGAAAGACTTAGAGTTTCTATGCCACATAATTTAAGCTTTGGTGTGATTCATCAAAAATATTTACAAATTTTTGTATTGTTAATTTAAGAGGCAAAATGATATTAATGACTGGCTAGTTAAATTTGTAACATTAATTTACAGATGTGATACTTTTTTCATTATCCATCAAGTTGTGCATTTAAATAAATGTTTCGTTTTATTAATGTGAATTTGCAAGAGCATAGAATTAGTAATTAAAACAAAAATTCCAAATTATTACATATTATGGGACTCTAATTTCTTTAATAGACTTTGTCTACAGCCAAAAAAAAGTTTCATTTCTATTCCGAAATATTTTTATTGAACTACTTTTTTTTACTTATCTTATTGACAAATTTTTATACCCTATAAATTTCAATGACAATTTTGTTATTTCTCTAATTTGTGTTTTTTTATCGCCTTTCAGAATATACTTTATATTGAAATAAGGTTTCATTCAATTGACTGCGTGGAAATGCTTCATAACACAAGCTAAGAAAAAATTATTTAGCTTATATTTCTTTTAAAGTTAAAAGAAAACGAAGACTTTCATTGCTTTTTAAATCATACAGTTTACTATATTTCTATTCTACTTTGATTTACAATTGACAGAGCACATTCTTCTTTAAGTCAAAAAGTCCGCCGAGCAAGCTGTCGTTCACAATATTCACGACAAATTTATCTTCCCCTGCTGGAACATCAATACATTTGGATAAGTTTGCCCTCTTTAAGTGACAGCTCTTCTTAATAAAAATGAATTATCCAACATCCAATGCCGCGACACAAACAATTTGTTTCCCTTTGAAATGAAACAATTAGATTCTTATTTTGGAGTGTTCGCTTCAAACAAGTTAATTTTGTATTCCTAAATAATTTGGGGCGTACGAAATAATATGTGTGTTGGTAGAAAATTAATCGGTGGATTCATCCCTTAAAAGTGTTTCTGAGCTCATAATATTATTATCTTTAAAGCATCATTGTATAAAATGTGTTTTTATTTAAGATAATTAATTTACAAAATGAAAAAATCACGCCAAGACTGTAATTTAAGGGGTTGCTTAAAAGTCTGACTTTAATAGTTTTGAGTGTAAAGGAGTAATTATGCTTTTATACTAAACTATAACAAACTTCCGAACTTTATATCTTTTTGTTAAAAAGATAACAATATTTAATTTTTATTATATGTATGTGCAGCCCTTAGACTTTTTTTTTTAGTTTCCTTTTTTGACTTGTGAGAATATTTATATGTGAATAGAAATTTTTTTAAAGTAGTATAGTATACTTATGTTTAAATAGCAACTTTACAGAAAAATGTGTTAAATATTTGATATAAAATACAATTTTGTTCTAGCCATTTTTGCTATAATATTTAATGTATGATTTTTCCAAAACTGTCTCTACACTAGAATAGTATACGATATTTCAGTATATTTTTTCTGTGAATTTTATTATATTTTTGAGGAAAGACATTTTGAAATCTGTTAAAAAACACTTTCTGCGCTGTTAGTGAAAAAGGGTAAACGAACACATTTGAAATGAAGGATTCGTTTCGCTTAACCAATATCAAAAATCGACGCTTTGGACTCGTAAATCTGCAACGTAAAGTGACACGTATCGCAGATCAATATTGGCGTTGTTGGGCTTTGAACACTTAACCCCCGGTTACGTGTGCACACATTTACATGTGTTTCGAGCGATTTCGAGTGTATACAAATGTCTCTTTCTGTTACGATTCGGGTCTAATACACTCCCAGGATCCATTAGAAGTGCAAAACACCAATTAAAGTTTTGCACGGATTACGAGAGGAGTGAAAAAAAGAAAAAAGAAGCCAGTATCCGTGGTATTACTTCTCTATCGTGTTTGTATTCGTTGAGGGGAAAGGAAAAGCAAGTGCGAGTGAGATGGCTGCCGCTCTACAGCCATCTCGCTTGCTCATGCTCTGCGCAGGCCGCAGATAAATGCGCAGCCATTTTTTAACAGGCGGAGCCAAAACAACGGAAGCGCTTGGGACTTTATGGTGGGGGGAAATAGTGGGAAATTTCGGGTGGTCGGGGAATTTTCTGCTGATTAGCCAGCTGTGCCAAGTCGCTGAGTTTTCCACGAAAAGTCAAAGAGACTGCGCGCTTTTCGAGCTAATTTTCCCGACAATATGCAGTTGCAAAAGTCGAACTATCGGGACCGTGTGCAGTGCTTAGGCAAAAGCTTCCGGAAGTCCCCGAAAAAGCTCGAGAGGGAAAGCTTGAACGGAATCGCTTTCGCAGATGCAACTTGGCAAGCTGCACCTACTTACTCGTCCAAAATGGCGTCGCTGTCGGCAAAATGCCGATAAATCAAAGTTCCCCATTTGAAAAATGCCAAGTGCCCACCGCGACATTTTATTACACAGCGGAGGCCAATATGATAGTGTTACACCATGGTTACAGAAGTGGCAAAAATGGATAAACTGTTGTAATAGTGAGTAGAAACATTATAAAAATCAAAAATGTACTTCAGAGTCAAACAGATAAAGGACAAAAATTATTTGATTTAATTGTATTAGTTTATCGGCTTGATATAGTTGATTTTCAAAATATTTACTAATTTATATTATTTGTAAATAACTTGTAGCATTTTACTAACTTTTTAATTTTGAAAATAATGTTTCTCATAATACAAAGCTTTCAAGTTTATGAAATGGGTAAAATACAAATATACAAACGAGTATGTCTGAATTAAGTCAGTTTTAAATTGTATTATAAATTGAACACTAAAAACTACGATTTTATGACCGCCCAAATTCGGTTGCCATTTTATAAAATGGCGTTGCCAAAAGTGAATTCGCAAATGGAGGATTTCCTTTCTCAAGTTAAAACAAATGATCCTTTAACTTGGGTAGGACAAAATGTATTGGCTCATTAAAGTTGAGGCTTGGCTGGACAGCTATTGATTTAACCGCAACTGTACGAGAATACGCAGCATCAAGTGGCTGGTGACTGGGGAGCGGCATTTCATCAGAGGAAATTAATCAGAGCAGATGAAGCGACAACCGAAAAATAACGACGCGGCATCTCCCAAAGAGCCCGCCGCTCCTTATCTCCTCAATCTGAATCGCCGCAGCCGGCTTTTTAGTGCGTGTCCACCGTTCGTTGGACCTCGTATTCCCATACGAGTATGGGATCGTATGGGATCGGATCGGATCGGATCCCAGATGCATCCCATTTGCAGAGTATCTGCATCTGTGTCCGAAGAAGGTGTGTGTGGTGTGTGTGTGTGTCGGGGGACTGGCGCTTGGAGGCGACAGCAGCGGAATGTCACCGCGGCAAGTAGACCCTCTTCTCACAGTTTTTTTTTTCACTTTTTTTATTGGCCATACACATCCCCAGAGCATCCATCAAACGCGCGTCCGTTCATGTCAAATTATAAATTCCCAAAAAATTTAAATCTAATTTCGCCACAGCGGACCCAGCGCCATATTCAAATACCTAATGGATTTTACTTTGTCCTGACAAGTACAAGCCCATTTAATCAATAATTAACGTAATCCATCAAGTACAAAGTGTCAAATGCACTCGCGAACGGCGGGCCCATCAGGCCTAAAAGGATTTCCCCGAAAAGCGCATCGCGTTGACAAAAAATCAAGTTGTCGCAAAGATACACGAAACAAATCCACGTCCCGTCACATCTGCATGTCGAAAAACACAGAACCAGCAGACCCATCAGGCGAACATGAACCCGAGAGTACCGAAAGCAACCCCTAACTTTAACCCCTGCTTGCCGTCTGTCACTGTCGAGATATCGGGGAGAATATACACAGCCTAAAGCGGCAGCAGCAGCAGCAGCTTATCTAAGCCGAAAAGTCGACCCTGATCAACCACTTGCAGAGAACCTGGCTATAGAGATAGCCCTTCTTGTCCTACTCCAAATGGGTATCAAACTACAAATGTCCATTTTTCAATTTACCTGGCCCTTACGCACTGTAGTCCACTCCACTCCACTCCACTCCCCCACCGTAAATTGAATCTGAAATGGAATAATATATGGACAGGGGACGGGAAGTGGACAAACAAACGGACAACAAACGGACAAACACCCACCGAATCGCCCTATAAATTAGCCCCTGGCCAACGACCAACGACCGTTGACCAGTTGGTTAGCTGGCGGCCAAAAGACCGTGAAATTTTCCCAATATGCTGCGTTTTATTTGCGTTTCCCTCCACTCATCCTCATTTCCCCCCGCTTCGCATTGCACTGGCCATATACCCATATAGAAACTGGGAACTGGGAACTGCTCGCATTTAAATGGACAGTCCGTTTTGACGTATGAATAAATTATGCACATGCCCTGCGATCGATTCTTGGGCTAGTTAACATAATTTCAAAGACAAAGGCAACGCTCTACATATTATCCACGGCCAAAGGGACAGTTTGACATCTCTACGCTTCAGTGGGGGAAATTTATATGCCGCAATTTGTCAATTGTTGCAATTTCTCTTTGTGTGCGCTTGCATCTATTTATTTCGTTTATATCCCAAAGAATAGGCCCTCATAAATAATTGAAATGTTTGTTTTTATTTGTTGTGAGTGAGCATGGTGAACAAAAGGTATTGAACATAAGGTTGAATGCTGAGGCAATAAGAATTAAATTATGCATTCCAAATATGTCATTAAAGTATCTTTTCAAAAGAATTATCAACTTACCTTAACAAATGTTTAAAACAAATCCATAACTGATATAAAGTATTGTTCTTTTTTTAGAATCAAATCCTATCATAAATTACAAAAAGATAACTTAAATTTTTAAATGTTATATACTTTTTTACAAGAAGAACTCAATAGCTAACTAAAAAACCACACAATGTTAATAATGTTTGCCAATGTGACATTTATTATTAAAGAACTATATAATATGCTTCAAACATTTCTTAGCAATATCATAGAAATATTAATATTATTGAGATCAAGGTAAAAGTTATATTGATTTTCTTTTGTTATTAAACCTAATTGCGTAATTATTTTGAAATTATTACTTAATTAATATTTTTATGTCTTTTCCTTACAGTAATGGGAATCTAGCTTAGTCACTCAATCATAAACAATTTGTGCTAAAGGTCTGGTAATGTTTTATATACTGACTCCAAATTAGGAACTCCATATCAACTCATTGACTTCTCCTTTCATGTATACATTTCCCTGAAATGGTCTGCAATAAAAGGACGCTACCCGAGTCACTCAACCGTCGAAAAGTTATTGCAACCCGATCCCGTGTCGCTGGATGTACATAAGTAAATGAGCTTTAAAATAATTTAGCTATCTCTTAAGCACATGTGTTTGTTTTCCATTCCCAGATACCAGTTTCCAGTTTCCGCCGATCCGAGGTCCAAACTGAGTTGGCCCATGTTGATACGAGGGCCAGTGTGTGGACTGGGAGATGTCCGGCCTGACGTTTATGAAAAGCCATCGCAGCATCAAAGCCAATTAAGATACCGGGCAGGGCACATACAAGCTCTAAAGGAATACGCGGCTAATTTCTGCGACAAAGCCGACAAACGATCGAGTCCAACTCCAACTCCAACCCCAAGTCCATATACAAGTTCAGTGTCTGGGGGCAAGATGCAAGAAGCAAGAAGCGGCACTTTTGTCGCAAACACAGGCCGTAAAATTAAGAACTCTGATTGGTAACAAATGTTTTTGTTCATTCGAGTGATAAAAACGTAGCGAACCGCAAAGATATAAAGTTCTCTTTAGTGTCTTGCCAGCGCGGCGATGATAAAATATTTAAATGAGCGCCGAAATGGGAAGGTTTCTCGGCTTGGATCGGTTTGGATCGGTTTGGATCGGCTCGGGTCGGCTTGGACATTTAGGAAATCAGAGAGAGAGACACCCAAACCTTAATGGCCGCGCACACGAACCGGGCCAAACAAGCCGAAACAGTGGGCTTAAACAAGACCAAGGGCAAAAGTGTGAAACACGGAGCGGCGTAACGCCAATAGCATTCGTCGATAACCACTGTGTGTCCGCCGAGCCGAGTAAGTCGGTCGGCTGTCATGATTAAACAAAAGTCCAATGCCAGCTAGGATATTAAATTACAGCCATAACGACGCAGCTAAGGACCCACTCGACGTCGACAAGGGCTTGCCAGATTCACTTTGGGACAGGCCGACAAACGACAAACGCAAACGCAAACGACGACCCAGCCCAAAAGCAAAGCCAAAAGGCTTGCAACAGAATCAAAACGAATCGAAACGGCCACGACAAAATCATAAAAGGCATAAACAGTTGTAAAGACACAAACCACAAAGGGCGTAGAATCAAAATTGAGCACTAAAACGTAATCGAGGTCGGCGCAGATTAACTAGCCTCTTTGCTGTTGACTCGACGATGGACGCGGGAAGAGGATGGGATGGCACATCCCGGCAGGTAGTTCATTCTGATATATCGAATGCATCTTAAAGATACTTGTGCGACATTACGATCATTACTCTATGTAACAGATACGCGGCGATGGAAAGGGCAGGGGCAGGGGAATGGGAATGGCAATGGACAGTGGCTGTAGACAGGTCGACCTGTCGTGTAATCCGGTCCTGCCCGGCAATTATAACCATATATAGCCCCCGCTGGCGACGGTGCCGCGTTGACGACCCACAGCCGAGCTATTGTCCAAAAATTGTCATTCACAACTGTCTCGCCGATAAGAAACAATTATCTGAGGCAAAAGGACTGCGAGGAGAGATCACATTGAATGGCGCCAGTTTCACAATGAATCTTGACCGAAAGGACAAGTCTTACGTTAAGATTTCGTCATGCCCTTTTTAAATGTAGGTTACATAAAAATGTTTATGGGTTATGCGAAGCGACACTGGCTTCCAACGAGATCTTACAACGTGGGAATGAGATTATTGCTTGGGGTACATTTACTTCATAAGTCTGAAGATCAATTCATTCTTATTTCTATAAATGTTCTTTATTGAATTTTAATTTATTTATTAAGATGACTAATTAAGTTTCTTAAGAAAGTGGTAATGTAAAGTGAGTATCCCAAAAGTATGCAAGATATATTTATATCCCTTAACACTTATAATGACTAAAAGTTCTGAAAGATTATATCAGTATATAGCTTCTGTAGAATAGCTTTCTCTTTGTCCAAGTCACATTTTTCCACCCCAATTCTCTTTTATGGTGCATCACCATTGATTGCGGGGAGTGTCCAAGACGCACTCCTCCTAATAACAGCCCTTCAAGGAACAATTTACACCACGTGTCGGGGATTACATATTAACTATGCCACTGTTCTTATTTCGGGGGCGTGTCGCTACAAACGTCTGCTGTTAATCCCTCACTTCCTGGATTGACATTTATATAGCCATTTAAGAAAGTGTGTATTCACGTTTGTATATATTAGTTTCATTATTATTGCACTTTCTGTTGAACAGAAATAAGGATGACTTTTAAATGATCAAATGTTACGTATGTTACTGTCATTATGGTAAAATTTTATACAATGTATCTAAGATCTATAATCGTGGGTTAATAATTTCGCTTTTTAGATTTGTAATGATTTAAAAAACAAGTTATATCGGTTTTAATTTCAAAATGTACATTCATTAAAAAAAAAAAATTTATTGTACAATAAATTATGATCTTTGTTCACAATATGAATAACAATATCCTTAAGTAATATATTGTAAAAGATTTGAATAGTCTTAATTACAATTTTTCCTTTTCCTCATATTTTAAATGTAAATTTTATGTTTAACATTTACATTTTGGAAAAAACAAATTAAAAAAATTAAAATTCTTTAAAACAATCTTTTTTCAAACTTCTCTTTTAAAATTTCAATGATAGTTTCAATTATTTATTAATATAATACTCTAAAATTTCAATGCTAAACATTTAGAGCTCTAAATTTGTTTGCATGCATGCTCGATGTGCTTTTATTAAAAGTGCTTTAAAGTGAGCCATACTGAGTGTCCCTAAGAACTTCACTTATGCCTGGATTGGGACAATACAAATTTGCAAGTAGTTGAGCCCTTCTCCCATTTCATATTCAAATTCGAATCGGCGCCGGCGCCACCTGCCAGCCCGTCGCTGTAGTTTTGCACGATCCGCTGCCATCGTGTAGTTGTTACCCCTCAAGCGGACGCGACCCGATCCTCCTCCGATCTGCCCCAGAAAGCACCAGAATAAAGGCGATCGCCAACGAAGCAACTGCGGTGTGGCCAAGGCTGGGATTGCAAGAACATTGTTCTCGTTAAACCGAATCATGTACACAGGGCCTTGGAGGTCGGTCGGTCGTGGGCAAAATGTGCTATCCGATTGCGCATGCGGGCCACACAGGAATAGGAGAATCCCTATCGCCCCTAGTTCTCCCCTTCCCAGATAATAAAGACAAGCCCGCTGCAGAGAGACCGATTTCATTGAGGATCGGTGCCGGACTTCTAATGACATCTATGCAGTCTAGTCTACCGGTTATCTGGTCCTGCAGATTCCGATTCCGGGGAGACGGTCCCGAAACCGCAATGACCCCGATCGCCGCAGGAGCATTGTGCGATCGTCTAGCAGTTAAGGACAAAATCGGAGGAAGATATGGAGGAGTGGCTAATGCGCCGACACCCCGCTGTGAGGTGAGCACACAGCCGCCTATAATTGAGTTATACATTCGACTGGCCAACTGACCCCTTGGGTTCCTGATCCCCGATTCCCAGTCCCTCGCCAAAAGGTTCGCAGCAGCTAAGCGGACAATGTTTTGACATAAATAAATGCTTGAATGACTTTAAGTGATCGCTGTTTACTTTGACTTTCTATGCCTGAACTCAGTTTTGGCATGATTTATGGGGCACGATCCGGCGACTGCTCAAGACATTACTTTCGTATATTCGTATAGTCGTATATAAATTCTGGCCGGGGTGGACGGGGGATGGTTTCGATGCTAATTCGTATTCAGGTAGTAAGCGGAAAACAATAAATATATTCGCAGCCGTCCTTTGGCGACCCAAGCTTGGGCTGTGGTATTATGACTTATAACAATGCACAATAAATGGATCAAATTTATAGTGGATATTAAGGTGATTGAGCATTGTTCTTTCACAAATTGCTTGTCTTTTTAATATTCAAGGTTTAAGATATATCGAAAAAGCATTCGCATTCAATTCCAAAAGTATTTCGTTAAGAGTCGCAAAGACTTAATCAAATATTTATATATATAATTTATATTTGTAACTTAACAAACAACTCAATCTAATTTATTTAAGTGCCATAGCTGGGTATTTATTATTATCCCCTAGTACATATGTTATTAGAAATGTGTTATCCTATCTGAGCTTTATTTTATAGGATATCATAAAAAGATATCGTTATAAATGTCATTTTCATTTCGTAACCATAACAGGAGTTTCCAAAAATCAGTCAAGAATTGCCTTCTGAACTGCCTTATATTGAGTATTAAATAAATTAGCAACTAATGAATCTCCTAATACCATATAGCACATAAACTGGTTTCAGTCATGCATATCAAGCAGCTGTTTTCCAAACAATAATTAAACATATAAGTATGCTTCACAAATTTGATTACAGAAAATGTAGCATACTCTTGGGCTGAAACAAAATGTAGTTTTTGGTCGTTGGTATGCGTGATCGGCATTCAACTAAGCGAAGTAAAGCCTATGAATTCAAAATTTAATTTAGCCATATCCCATATGTACCATATATACCCCATCCTCTAAACGACCGGTTATGTTCAGATGGCCCTGAACGATTCCGGCGACAATAAAAAAAAAAAAAAAAAAAAAAAGCCATATCGTAAGTTTGAAAGTTTTTTTTTGTTTTTTCCCTTATTTTTACTTTTTACGTATGGTCTAAGGGATCAACACAAACAGAAATGTTAATCATGTGGAAATTTTTGCAGCTAGCAGTTAAAAAACATTGTATCCTAACAGTTATTTTATTTATTCCCCCTTAAGAATAATTTAACTCTGGTACAACCGAAATAAAAACAAAGTGTTGCTAATTTTGTTTTTACTAGGTAAAAAATAACAGTGGTATTATAAAAAGAAATTTGTGAAGAAAATCCAAAAAATGCACAACTTATATTATTATTTTAAAAATCAACGAAAAAAAGTGGATTACTTTTCGCCTAACCAAACTTGTACGTATATAGAAAGTTATATATATTTTTTATATTTTTTACTAACTTAAAGGTGCTGACATAGCAATTTAAGTATTTTAATTGATTTTTCAATCTTAAATCCATAACTGGTTTTAAGTTTATTGTGTTGTTCTTTAAGTGCATTGTATTGAATTTGCTTGATCCTAAAACGAATGCGTTTATAATTATAACAGTAATCGCCTTTTAATACAAGGTAACAATGCATAAAATTAAGATTATATATTCAGTTTTAAAATACTTCGTTTAAAATTGTTCGTCTACCCATGATTTTTTTAACATATCTATTTTTATAATCCGTTATTGTAATGTAGTTATTGCAATTTGGTTCTTTTTAAGTTAAATATAATAATATAATAATAATAATATTTCGTTTTACATATTTTGATAAAAAAAAATTAAAAAGTGTAAACATTATTTTCATGAAGTTTAATTATACTATAAACTAACAAGAGTTTTTTTAAATCGAAGAGACAGAGAGCAAAAAAACTATTTCAATTTCATATTTTCAGTAAAATTGTCAAATATTTTCAGAACTTAAAAATAGCTTCAGAAATATTTTGTAATCTTTTAAGTCAAAAGTATACTTTACGGTAAAAAAAATTGATTTTATGGATTTTTGTTGCTAGAATAGTTATACAGTGTGCATCTATTTATATTCAATAAATTCTTGTTGGACAATATTGAAAAATATTTAAGTTACAACAGTATCACGGTATTGTGTACAAATTTTATCTGTTTTGTTAATATTAATGTCCAATTGTTTCGAGCCGGTCCATTGAAGATAAGAATGCAGATAAGGAAGTAGGTAGAAGCTCTGTAAAATAATAATTTTAATTAGTGAATATAAATAAATTTGTCAGTAATAAAATGATACACAAACCGTATAGCTTCAGCGGAGTTCTTTGCAGCCAGGATTGACTTCTGAAATCTGAAAAAACATTTTAATGATTGTTTCAAGAAATTGTATTCTTACTTACACGCAATTTAAACGATCCGAAATTAGCTTTTTGGCCTGAGTTTCTAAAATAAAAGAAATTGTTCCTTTTTTATTGGGCCGAATCCATCATTGGCTTGAAATAAAATGAAATCATTAATTATGAAAATATATGCTTACCTCTATTCGAAATTCCTGTACTCTTACGATTTAAAAGAGCAAAGAAGAGGAAAAGACTTCGATTCCAAGTGGAGACAGTTTGTCTGGTTTGACTACCTGTTGGATGTGCACACAGTTGGATGTGCTGAGGCTGCCCCGACTCATCCATCGGATAAGAATCTAACTCAATGGATTGAAAATGAATGAATCAATTTCATACCAAAATCAAGTTTATTTTTGTCTTAATGTCACGAATCAAGAATGCATCGGCATTTGGGCTTTCCACATCTGAAATATCAAGAAGATTCACCGTAAGATAAAGAGTTTCCGGTCAAACAAAATAAATGACACAACGAGTTGACTACAGTGATGACTTGAAATAGATGTCCTCATATATATTCTTGACCATGAGAAAAAGAAATATCAGTTGTAAATATCTGTTTTTAAAACAAACAAATGACTATGAAATAATGTTGTATCTAATGCTTTTTATTCTTACAGCTTTTTTTCTGTCACTTTAAAATTACCGAATATAGATAGAAAACTTTTTTCGCCAGCTTGGGCATTTTTATTTATTTCATTCAATTAGATAACAATCAAAAAAATAATTTTTCGAAGTTTCCATTTCATGGTCAATTGATTTAAATAATATCAATTATTTTAACAATAATATTGTTTATTACGGCTTGTCAAATATAATGCAATACTTTCTGAAAGTTAATTATAATCTGTCTCATATTCGAGGCATGGCTGTACCGAGCGGCAAAGTTTTCAAAACAAAAGAACTCCTAAATGAAGCCCCAATACATTTGGGCTGTTGAACGGGCATACAAACCAAATAAACACGTCGGTTTCCATTCGTTCCCCACACTTCACGGCCAGCTAATTAATGACGTTGGTCAGTCGGTCCGGTTTCCTCGATCCCGATCCCGATGCCGATGCCGATCCCTATACCTATACCTCGATCCCAACGGATCGGACCGGGGAAATATAGAGTGCAGGCCCTATAGAGTGATGCCATTTTGGTTTTTGTATTCGTTTTCGTTTTGACTTTGGTTTTGGTTGTGGTTCGGGTTAAGGGGTTTCCTTTTCTCCTATAGTCTGGTGACGGTGTCGTAAGTGAAGTGCCAATAAACACGTGATTTACTTAAGCTGTGATCGAGCGGCAGGGACGTGGGCTCTCAGTGGATCTCTGGGACAGTCAAAATCATGGGGCTTATCGCTGCCATCGGCCATCAAGATGCCGCTCATTAATTTTAAAATTAGGCGGGTTTTCAAGAAGAGAGCGAGCCCCAGAAATGAAGTCCACCTTTGGCTGAAGACCGACTAAACTGGGCATCTCATCCCTGGATCCCAAACCCCTTTCCCGAAGAGACCCCGCGATGCATTGCGACCGACCATGAGTGCATAAATTAATTAAGTCGGTCGGAATGGGAACGTGTCGACCTTTTGTCTGGCATTGTGGCGAAGATGGCGGCTGTGGACCCTGCTGAACGTGTACGTGAACGTATAGATACAGATACATATACATATAACGTATAACGTAGGACGTTGTAAATTAAAAGCCGCGGCCGGGTCCTTTATATGCAGCTCCGCCGCAGACTGAGTCATTTGCATTTTGCCGACCAGACCAGGCCAGGCCAGCCTGATTATGAAAGATGCTGCGTGGGTGATAAATGGTCGTTGTCAGTCGAAAGCCCTAGCGATTGTTGCACTTTCAAATCCTGGACCATCCTGAACCATCCTCAACCATCCCGGACCCTTTCAACCCCATCATTTACACCAGGGCTAACCCCTTGCTGGGAGATTAGCTGCCGTCCTGCCAAATTTATTTGTGTGTTTATGTTCATCCCTCGACTGCTGACAAGGGCCGTGGCCGAAAGCCAATGCTAAAGCCAAAGCCAAAGCCAAAGGCTACACAAATCTAATAGATCCCGATTGAGTTTTAATTATTTCACTTAATTTTCTGGCTGACTTGGTTCACTTAACTCTCGCCTGTCTCTTCTTTTCCACTGAATTGGCTGAACAAGCTAATGAAGCGAATAAATTTCTTGGCAATTATTTTGCGGATTGTTTTAATTGACCGCAAGATGCCTTGAGCTCGGGCTGCCCTTGCCTGCATAGATAAATGAGTGACTAGCCGAAGGAATCAAGAGGATAAGACGTCAAAGGGCCGCAGCAGGAGTTCGCTAATTAACTAATTGGCAAGTCGTTAACTCATGAGCCAAGGGGATTTTGCCCCAGAGCAGCAGTTTCACCTGCAATTTGTGTGAGTCCACATCTATTTTATATTTTTCCAGGCAACTTTCTCACATAAAAAACGTGACTTTGTTTATGATGAGTGATTGTTATGAGTTGTCAAAAAGGCATGACACACAGCCAGCCGCATGTGTGTAGGCTATTTTTTTTTTGTGTAAAGAGGGGTTGTGATGGCCATGGCCGTTAAGCAGGAAATCCACCAGGATCTGTTAGAGTATGCCGTCAACATATGCAAATAGACTTGTCTACGGAGTCAAACTGAAGGTGGCCAAAAGGACCACGTGACTGCAACGGGTTTTCCACCCTCGATGAAATACCCACCGCTGTTGACACCGCCCCCTGATAACAATCAACCCTGTGCGGCGGCCTCGGCGGGAGTTTACTTTAATGTTTTGACAGTAAAATAAACATATCCAAGTGCGGCTCTCATCACACGAGTGTGGGTGGACCGGTGGGTGGTTTTTTGGTGCGCATGCACGAGTACTCATTCCCATACCCCTGACTAGTACACACATGTTAATACCCGAGTAGCGGGGGCCAAGCACATAGATGTCAAATATAATTCATCATCCTGGCAAAACATCAAAGCCAGCCCCTGCAAGGACCAAGGATCGAGGTCCGAGGACTGTGGACCAGGGCACAAGCACAAGGCTACCGGCATGAGCAAACACAAAGTCGCCAACAGCATCATTATCAGTTGGGCGATGCTTTTTGCCCGGTCAAGTGAGCCAAGCCAAAATCCTGAGTGTCGTCTGGCTAGGGTGTCGAAATGAATGGAGTACACTGAGATGATTGGACCATCAGAATGACACTTTAAAGTAAGAGACCCTATAACTATCTTTAGAGTAAATTAAAAATTATATTCCTATAGGAAAGCACGAATAAATATTTTTTCTCGATTTATTTAAATTAAAATAATATATTCAAATACTAAAAATTTTTACCTAAGATCATGTTTTATTTGTTAATTCAATTTTCGGTGCCATCAATGTTTTCAGTTTAAATTTATTCAATATTTAATTTAATAGCTTATTTTGGCCTTATTAAATGCAATAATATACATTTTGCCCTTCAAAATTCATTAAATAAAATACATTTTTTTTTTTAATTTTACGAATCCGTTTTTTTTTTGTTTAACATTCTTTTTGACTGTGTGCAGAATAGTTAGTTACAATTGCCTTGAATTCTCACTGCACTAGCAAGTTTTTGTAGGTAGAACACCAGACGTTTTCCAATTGCTTAACTTATTTAACGCTGGTTCTTTTTTTGGTAAGCTTCGAGGGCTCACAGGGCAAAGAACGGCACTTAGGTCGAAGGATTCGCACGACGTCCTTTTAAATAATTAATGTCAATTAGAGCCAAATCTAACTTTGGCCATCAGTCCGCCCGAAGGACTCAGGACGACTGCGACGACTTAAAAAGGTATGAACTGTTATTCGCCTACCTGTTCTGCCAACGGAACTGCCTGCTGTTGGGCTGTCTGTCATAAATATTTTATAACATCAATTACCAAGCACTTAACTTTCATGAATTTAATACGAAAGCTTCAGCTGCTGTTGCTGTTGCTATTACCGCCGAGGGTAGACACTCATTTATCTTATGTGCCAATGACGAGCAATCAACACTCAGCACTCGATGTCACTTTTTCCCTGTTTTCTTCGTTTTCTTGGATGGGACAAGTGTAAGCCGGAAAATACACACATCTGCACACATATGCTTATAGTGTCGGTATCGACTCCTGGTCCACCACCCCAGCAAAAAAAAGGGACCACACTTTCCGATTTGGGTTTGGAACAAAATACCAAGACTGCCGTGATTTACTTCCCCTTGGCTGCGAGAAATCCCAAATAAAATAAAATTAAATACGCATCAGGAGCACAAGTGCTAAAGGCCCGCGGCCAGGTCGCCAGTCCCTCGTCTGGCTGATAAAAACAATATCAATGGCCCACTGAATAGACCCACCCTCAGTCCCAATCCCAATACCAAAATCCGCCGAAGGACGACCGTCTGGGCCAAGATTGAAGGCAAGGCTAAGCCACACAGTCACTGTATCGGATGAAGCCGGCGCGTGCCGATGACGCACAATTCCCCCCATTGATATTCATGGCCGATTTTCGGCCCGATATGCTACTCCTTCCCATTTCGCGTTCCCAAGACCAGACCAGAGCGGAAAACAAAACGGTGCACACATAAATAAATAAAATTTATGGCAGCTAGCATCGGTGAGCCGTCCCAATTGGATTTCGGGGCACTTGTAGTGGGGTTTTGATATGCCCGATTATTTCTGTTTGATTGTTTGATTAGATCGGTGGGCCGGAATCCGGTGAAATGTGGTTAAAAGAACAGCCACGCTTAGTGGCATATGTTGACTTAGTTAGTATTTTGTTTGCGAGGGGGTTTTGGTAGTGATTAATTTGATTGGAAGTACTGTGATATAAATATGCTTTCCTTGGGGTTGTTATTATCGTTAAAGAGCAATATTTAATCTGCAAATATTATGATATTTTAATCAAATAACAAACGGAGTTATCCAGTTTTATTTCTGATTTGTACTACTTTATTTATAAAGAACAGAATTTTCCCCAGAAAGATAATAATAATAAGGGATTTAGTTAATATCAGAGAAATAATTAATATTACAAATTAGGAAATTCATAAATCTGTCGTTTGAAAAAACTTTAAACCAAATTTTAATATGATTTAGGATATATAAATTAAGAACATTTAATATTTGGCTAATTTGTAATTTCTTTTTGTCCTCCCAATTTTATTTGTATCAGAAAAGTTATATTATTGACTTAATTTTTATAGATGTTAAGGTTTTGTATATATATTAGTTATAACCTGTTAAGATTATATCTGAACAAGGCATACTTCGCAATAAAAAGTCTACAAATTTTTCAGTATATATTCTCCTGTATGCAATATGGACTGTAAGTCATATTCATGTTTTAAATAATTGTTGTATACAACAATAACGTTGAAGAATAAATAAATCAGAATCCATTTATATTTTTCCTAATTGTATT